CATTTCTCTCCCTCCAAACACGGCGAGTCGAGTTAATGCCAAAGAGCTAAATTTTGGTCTAATCTGACCACAGCACTTTCTCCCAAGCCTTCTCTGAATCATTTAGATGTTCGTTGGCAATTTAAACGGGCCTGTACATGTGCTGCCTTGAGCAGGGGGACCTTGCGGCCGCTGCAGGATTTCAGTCCATTGTGTAGTGCGTTACCAATGGTTTGCTTGGTGACTGTGGTCCCAACTGCCTTAAGATCATTAACAAGCTCCTCCCGTGTAGTTCAGGGCTGATCCCTCACCTTTCTCATGATCATCCTTACCCCATGAGGCAAGATCTTGCACGGAGGTGATGGTTGTTTTGTATTTCTTCCTTTTCCGAATAATCGCACCAACAGTTGTCTCCTTCTCCCCAAGCTTCTTGCTGATGGTCTTGTAGCCCATTCAAGCCTTGTGCAGATCTACAATCTTGTCTCTGACATCCTTTGACAGCTCTTTGGTCTTGCCCATGGTGGTGGGAGAGGAATGGAAGATACAGATTGTGTGGACAGGTGTCTTATACACCTAACGAGCTGACATTAGGAGTAACTTCTTAAAGTGACAGGACTAATCTGTGTTCCAGATGGGCACGTAACCAATCAGTGGGAGCCAGAATTCTTGCTGGTTGGTAGGGGATCAAATACTTATTTCACTCACTGAAATGCAAATCAATTTCTAACCTTTTATATATTGTGTTTTTCTGGATTTTTTTTTGGTTGATATTCTGTCTCTATATGTCTAAAATAAACCTACCATAACAATTACAGATCCTTCATTTCTTTGTAAGTGGGCAAACTTAAAATCAGCAGGGGATCAAATAAACATCTCCCCCACTGTATACTGATATTTACTATTAATGGGGAAGAAAATGCTTTTCACATTTTTGTCAGACTTTGAAAATGAATGTAAATATAACTTGGTTTGTTCACAATTCAACTCCACAGAGTAGAGCTACCTTTTAATTTAGGGCCCCATAAAATCAATTTAGTTTTTTCCTAAATTCTATTTGGTTTCCATTAAATTTTTTTCTGGTTTCTGTGTTTTATGATTCAATACAAGTTGGATCATAAAGTGTGAAATTAATAAAACTTTAATGGTTTAATCAATCTTTTAAAATGCAAACAAATAAACAATTCATTTACAACAAAACATTGCATTTTAATTCGTCAAATAAGATGCTGCACAACAGAACTGTATAAATGAAAAAAAGTATTGGTTTAATGATATTTCTTAAACACATTACTATTATTATTATCAATTTGAGAATTGCATTTTAGTATACAGCAGCGATTTATTTCTATTATAATTTAGTAGTAACAGTAGTAATATAATTCTGTTAGAAGTTAGGCCGAACTTTTATTGTGGTGGTTTGTCATGAAGATCTTTGAGTGTCCAAAGTGTTTTGAGTGTGTATTTGGTGTTTTTTTGTTTGTTTTTCCTCATATGAAACTGGTGAAGTGGCTCTCAGAGCATCTTTGGCGATGAAGTTCATGTCACGCGTGTTTGAGTTTGTGTAGCAGATGAAACCACAGCACTCATTCACACAGAGAAACACTCAGAACATGCAGACTTATTAGTGACATGGCCGTTGTCACATTTATTTCTGCTGTATGATAAGCTGTTAGATTAATCAATATCAAGTAAAAGTGTCCAGCACTTATCATTATAAACATTAATTTTATTGCAATCTCGATATCATATTATTGATCGCCCTGCCCTATTCTGAAGTTATATGATAACTTTATGAAAAACAGTCCCAGATTTGAATCAATATTGACTTAAAACTACTCTTTCCACCATAGCTCAACAACAGGGTGAGTAAATTATGGCAGACTTTTTATTTTTGGATGAACTGGTCCCCCCCCACCCCCACACACAAATATCTGGCTTTTCTGATATTGCAATGATGAACAATTTCTCTGCTTCTGTCACAGGTTGACACATGCTGATAGTCCAGTACCAAAATCTTTCATTGAGGATTTAACCACTTCAACACCGACCACCAACAACTCCCCATGAGCGATTGAAGAGCACCCTAAATGTACCGGCACCTCTTTCTCTCCACCAGTGGAAATTTTTTGCTCACTTTAAAATGTACTTTTAATTTTCCCAAAAACGATTTTGACGTCACACACCAGCAGGAGAAGTGGCCGAGTAAAACACTAGAATCTGCAGCCACCGCGATAAAACAACCATGTACAGAACTGAGGAACCAGCAGTGATTGATTGTCAGGGGATTTCATTGAAATACTGTGATCCTGAAAGCTGAACCAGTTTTTACCTTTACCTTTATATGGTGATTTAACAGCTTTGCGACTTCACGCTGTGTGTACTGCACATCTGCATGCGTCACTTTATTCATAGCTCAATGTGGCCTCTAACAGCGTCTCTGGATTGTTCATATCTGCAATGTGTCCGCTTCCGTTTAATGGGTTGAGTCGCCCATCCTTAATTCGGTCCATTAGTCCAGTCACAGGCTATCTTGGTGTATTTTTGAGTGCAATTATAGAGGAACTGGATGCAAATGATTTTTAAACTACCTTTTGCATACAGCAAACCTTATGTTGTTCCGTACTTATTTTATTTTCATTAATTGAACCCGTTTATTAAAATCTGACTTCCTTATGTTTTGGGTTACGTCATTAGAACCACTCTGTGTTTGACGTATATTTATGTACGCTTCGTTACAGCATTAATTGCATGTCTTGATTAATTTCAAATGTGTTGTAAGTCTTGCTTCATTTCTATTTCAGTTGATTATATCTGTTGTGCCTCACAGTATCTGGTACTTTGGCCAGTTCACAGGGAATTATGGGTAAAGAAATTAGAAGTAATTTTGCACAATTGCGTACTGACAGCTTAATATCCAATGCTTTGTTGCACAAACGAGTCTCTCGCTTGCAAGAATAGCTTTCTCTTCCTGAATGTGTTCCACAGATAGCGTTTTATCTATGCATGATACTATAGAACAATGAAACATTTGTGAGTGACTTTTCCTTTGTGGTACTAGTTTATAAATTTCTAGGTTGTTTATGTCAGTTATTTAACCATTAAAATGTAGCGCTAGAATTGTTGGCTTACTACAACCTTGAGCAATGCAAGAATACGTGTAACCTTTGAAGGTTCTTTAAAATGTGTTTTTCCATTACCATAGAAGTGCGGGCCACTGCTGAAACCAGACAGCTGTGAATAGAAATGTCTGCTGTAGAGTGAAATGCATTGCAGTTCAAGGATGGATGTATCTAGGGTGTGAGATCTACATCTACAGTTCTTAAGTGCGGCACACGGAGTCTTTAATGGTCCTTACAGCTAAAATAAACTTTCTTTTCCCATATGTCATGTCTGGAGTATGTATGTTTATATTAGGGCACATGTGGACACAGATTTGATCTGTTATGGATCAGTCTGTTTCAAGTAGTCCAAAAATTGTGACACTTTTTATTTTATTTTGTTTAACCACATCAGCCATCTTTGTGTCATGGCACTATGAATTTTAATTGTACAGATGTTTACCAAAAACTCCATTATCTCGAGACTAACTAAAATTTGCTGTTATGAAAGATGGCCACTGTGGTTATTAGGAAAATAAAAAATGGTTGCGAAACCTCCAAAGATGTTTTTTTACATATTAAAGGGGTCATATGATGCTTTTTTAAAGATCATTGTGATCCAAATAAAGTGCTTTTGCTTTCGCACTGAAACACACAGCGTCTCCCTGACATGGCTGCTTCAACACTAACTGCGGTTACTGACACCATGCCTTCTTTCTTTGCGTGCACATTTGCGGCGGGATTATGCAAATATTTCCACATAGTGGGGTAGATATGTGGGGGCGTGTTAGAATGAGCCGTTTTAGGGGGGCGTGGCAGAGTCTTAACTTTGACAAAGAATATCTCTTTGGTTTTGAGACTTTAGTCTTTGCAACTTCAGGGATCTTATCTATGCACAATCAGCTTGTAACACTCCAAAGAGAAAGGAAAACTTGAAATCGCATCATATGACCCCTTTAACTTTATCATGCATTTTATATACCACGGATCAGGGCTTCACGCTTTCTGACCAATGAATGATCTTCCAGTTGTTAATTTTTGTTTTATATATATATAAATATATAATAGTATATTGTAATAGTATATTTTAGAGCAGAGCAGACCATGAAAAAATATATATTTTCACTATAGAAATTTCCATTACGTTTTAATATTTTATTCATTTCATAATTTTTTTACAGGCCTGGAAATGATCGCAACAATTAAGCTTCTTTATATTTCTAATAGTATTATGTTTACTATGTGAAAGAGAGGAGGGATGAGATCAGGATGTGACACTAGCCAGATTTTAATTCACATCATCCAAAAGAGTACCTTAGTTCACATGCATCAACCACTAATCCATTCTTTTATAGTATTTATAATTGATTATTTTGAATTAGCTTTCATTTCATTTGTAATTTTTACTAGTTTTTCTAATACATTAACTTTTAACTAGTTTTTGTTTTAGTAATTTTTATACTACTTAAAATAATTTTCAGTTCAGCTCCTAATCTTCAAGTTTAAATCTAATAATGATATTTTGTTTTATTTCAAATGTATTTTAATTAAAGAAAATGATTTATACGTTTTAGTAAATAACAATCCACAGCTCCATTCTATGCTGCTAATGCATGTTTAAATTCTGACTGTCACTTTCCACATGACTGGTCTAAAACATTTTACTGAAGCTTCTGAGCTCTTAATAATACATCAACCGAGTCATTATATAAATGTACATTTCAGAAGGACTCAACAGAATCAGGTTGCCATTAAGCATTTAATAGATATAAACAACATAATTTAACATCTGTTTATTCATGTTAAGTCCACTCTATGACCTTTGCTATGTACATACAGGTGCATTCACAATAAAGGGACGACAGATGCATGTGAATGCTGGGATGCAGATGACTGCAGTGACGGTCCTGATGGGGATCAACTGTAACCTGTATGTGACATCAGTGGAGAGATGATGCTCTGTGCATTTGGTCTTGGCCAGCATTCAGCCATGCACTCTCCCGCGCTCTTTATACCACATATAATCCATTTACACCTTAAAGCTCGAGTCAAACTACTACACACCATCCTGACGGCATATGCACTCTCCCAATTTCAGCTGGATTTCATACCAATTTCTGCCAAATAAAAGCAGCCATAGTGCCTAGGACGAGATGAGTCCCCTTACATGTGACAGGGTGATCTATATCACACACAAAACATATTCCCTGTATTTTGTATAAGGCATGAGAATGAAAGGAAAAGACACCAAATCCACACATTTTCAGATCAATCCCACTGTTTAAAAGAATAGTTCACCCAGAAATGAGCATTTGCTGAAACTTTACTCATCCTCAGGCCATCCAAGTATTAGATGAGTTTGTTTCTTCATAGGAAATGTAGCATTACAGCACTTGAATGGAACCTCTGCGGTGAATGGGTGCCGTCAGAATGAGAGTCCAAACAGCTGATAAAAACATCACAATAATCCACACGGCTCCAGTCCATCAGTGAACATCTTGTGAAGTGAACAGCTGTACATTTCGAAGAAACAAATCCATCATTAGTCAGTGTTTTAACTTTAAACTGTCACTTCTGGCCAAAATACTAGTCTATAATCCATAAAATCTCCTTCATCAAAATTCACCAACATATTCATTTATAACTGTTTTTGCCTGTAAACTGTGCTTGATCGGTGCATATTTCTCTCCTGATTCAGACAAGATGACTTTCACTGGAGAAAGCAACATTATGGATTTATGGCCTCGTATTTTAGCCGTTAGCAGTGGTTTGAAGTAAAAATTTTTTTTTTAAAAAAGTCTTGATGGATTTGTTTAGTACAAACACTTCACTAGACGTTGATTGATAGTCTGGAGCCGTGTGGGTTACTTGTGGATAATTGTGATGTTTTTATCAGCTGTTTGGACTCTCATTCTGACGGCACCCATTCACTGCAGAGGATCCACTGGTGAGCAAGTGATGTAATGCTACATTTTTCCAAACCTGTTCCCACGAATAAACAAATTCATTAACATCTTCATGGCCTGAGTACATTTTCAGCAAATATTCATATTTGGTTGAACTATTTCTTTAATTTCATAGCTGCAGTTTAATTTCGGTAAAGATCCATGTGGCGTTCTCAATTCGCATTAGGAATGAAGAACAGCATCACAGATGTTTCTCAGTCCACTTCACCAAGTTATAAACACATCGATGTCTTTGCACGTACATGCCGAGTCTCTGACTAGTCTGATTGTCTGAGGGGAGTCTCACTACAACTCAATCAAACATTGACGGCTGATGGAGCTGATTTAATGCGCCCTTGTGAAAATATCCAAAGGGTTGAGTTCCTGAAACCTGCCATGTTTTAAATACACTATAGCACACAACACATACTACGCTTGAAGTTCCTCAAGTGATATGAAGAAATACTGCTGCTAGAATTGTGACACCGCAAGGCAAATTATATTTGATAGAAAATTATTTTTTTTATACTGCATTTAGTCCTTTTAAATCCGTTTGATTCGAACTAGAAGCTATAACCCTGCTGAATCATATTTGAAGGTTTAAATCCATTAAAATGTTGCTTGTGGACACAAAACTGGTAAGATCAAGTGGTTAAACGCAAACAAATAAATATAGATTTTACAAAAGGAATAAAAACCAATGTCCTATGTACAACAAATATCAATTTTCCACAGCATTCAGATCGCAAAAAAGGTTTAGTCTTCTTTGAGTCATTAAACAAATGACTGAGGAAAAAACTAAATCACATTGCATTGCTCTACAAGCTTTCATTCATCAAAAAGCTTTTGACACCCAGTGATGGTGTGATGTAATCAGATGTGAGTGAGGATGAGGGATTATGAATGTAGTGCCCACGCCGTCCGTTACCCTTCCCTCCAAACCGACTCTCCCACTCGCCTCAACTTCTAGTGAGGGTTCTTTCCCCCAGAGCTAGGGGGCGCTGTGCCTCCTCCACCCTCCCTCTGTCCATGGCCTCTTCTCCCGTGTCCCAGAATGCAGTGCGCGCTTCCGCAGCCTTCCTCGTCATCCCCCTCGCTTTCCGAGGAAGACTCGCCGAACTGTCGAGGCTTCTCATAAACACAGCAACCTGAACATATCAAAATTGTAGAAGAACGTGAAAAACAAATAAGCTGAGGACGTTCTATTTCAAGCAACAAAGCATTCAATAGGCCGCTTTGAGCAGATGCAGGTCATTTAAACCTGATTTTCAAGGTCAGCTATTTAAAATCTGGCCCAGATCTGCCTGTCCTACACTATTTTCAAGTATGAAACCGATTCTCGTTTTATACACATTAAATGACGATCCATAATGGATTCAGATCAAGACTTCACATAAAGTCAAAACAAGCCTCACACTTTGAAGACCTCCGGCCCAGATGTTCATTGTCCACCGTGTCACTGGACCACTCCACTTTCTTCTCCGTCTTCCTTTTCCTGAGCTTGATGGTCAGGCTTCTGCCCTCCTGAAAGCACACGAAGTGAATGAAGAATATTAGTGACATTATTAAATATTTTTACAGCTGTGAGTAACCATTGATAGTTATGATGATGACAACATTTATCACATCAACCATTGTTCTGGCTTTGTGTTACTACTGCAAAACCACAATACATTAACATGGGATCTTACTACGAACTGCAACAAAATCTGCTAGACATACACCACAGCAATACCATGCATTCCTTAAATTACTGTAAAATGTATAATGTAAATGGTATATGAATAAGGTAACCATTTAATATGGTATAACCATTTTGTAACAATATTTTATTGGCCAAACATTATGAAGACAATAGTGTTCACAGTAATTGGGATTTTTTTTTATTACCAAAAAAACCCAAAAGCAACTTTAAATAAAATAAAAAATATATGCTGTATGTGTGTGTTTTTATATATACATAATAAATATACACAGTACACACACATTATCTAAACAAAAACATTTATTTTGGATGCAATTAATCGTGATTAATCATTTGACAGCACTAATAATATATATATATATATATATAAATAACAGTGGGTTAACATACTGTTATAGATTTTATTAACGATTTTATTAAGTTGTTATTTAGATATTTTTAATTTCCATTTTAGTGTCCTTTCAAGATTTAGTAGTTTTGTTGGTTTTGGCATTTTTATTTATTTATTTAAATGCCTGCACAGTTTTTTTAAATTATTAATTTATGTTTTAGTTTTTAGTACATCAAGTTAAACGAAAATGTACGTTTAAATGAAAATTAGAAATGTTGCCTTGGCAACTAGCTGAAATAAGTTTTATAATTTTAGTTAACGGTTATTTTATTTTAAGTAACGAACATGTTTATTTTTAACGGTTGTAGTTTAGTTAACTGTAATAACCCTAGTACTTTTCTTGCTGTAGGTGTTGTAAAAGTGCCCGTGTTTAAGTGCTGTAAAAAGCTTTCACAATTTTACTTTTACTTTTACTTTACTTTTAGTCATTTAGCAGACGCTTTTATCCAAAGCGACTTACAAATAAGAAAAAGTAATTAAAACTAAAAGCTAAAACTCTATAAATACTATATATACAGTATAAACACATTTAAGAAAATTAAATAAATTAAATAAAAATGACAAATGCATACAACAACATTTCAAAACTAAAACATTTAAATGAAAACAAAAAAATAAAGCTAAAAACAATTCAAAAATATTAAAAGAACAAAAGGTATGAGTATAATAATGATTCTAACATAACACTAAGCCAAACACCAAAAAACAACTACATATGTGTATGTACAGCCACACACATATACATATACATGTACATATATATAAATACATTATATATATATATATTATTTCATTTCCATTTTGTATGTTGAAGTACTGAAATAACTCAAATTAAATAAAAGTAAAACTTAAAAAGCCTATATAGACATAATAAAAAAACTAATAAAATGACAACATTACTACAACTGTAACTAAAACTAAAATAGATAACTAATACAAATCAAAGTACATTAGTTCATCAGTAATCCTAAAAAAATAACACTGAGGCAAACACACATGCTAAAATAACAACAACTTACTGACACATAGTAAGAAATAGTTTATAAAAACCTGAAACAGAAGTGGAAAGAGGAGAGATAAAAAGCGATACTTATGTCCTTTGCCGGTGTCCCTGCCTGGTGGAGTCGCACGGTAGAGTCGATGGTCTTTACACTCTTCGGTCTTACCACGACCGCAGCCGCGGTAAACTAAGCTTCTTTTTAATTAGTTTAACAAAACTCAAATAATTTTCTATCATTTTAATTTCTTTTTTACGGCAGTAACAATAACAATTGTAGTAACTAACCTGAAAACTGCCGGTTACCATGGTAAATATATCTATGTAGAGACTTACAGGCGGATTTGTGTTGTGATGTGGGTTAACTTGTGATCATAACACACTGTCAAACCAGTTGAGAACACAATCCCAGCTGAACATGTCGCTTACTAAACAGGCCTTACGCTGGTATCTAGTCAGTCTATTAAACTACTCGATATGCTAACCACAAAACGGTCAGTTAATCACAAGAGCCGCTGGTTCACAGTTCTTGAATGATTCGGTTTAGATGTGGCTCGTGATGGTGTCTACAGAAAGTAGGGCAGAGTACCTGCTGGGGTGGAGGCGGTGTGCCCGTCTGAACGGTCTCCGTTATCGTCTCACTCGATGTACCTTGTACCTCCGCCATAGCGCTGATCAAACCCCAATAAACCTTCCAGCGGCGCTCGGTCGCCTTCAGTCGACGAGAGTCTGCTCTCCGTTTAAAGGATACTAAATCACGACGGCTGCAGCTCTCGGTTGGCGTGTCAGGATGTCGAGCTAGACACTATATGAATCTGAGACGAATGCATGAGATGAATTTGCGCCAGTCTAATCACTCCTCGGAAGGACGCTTTTGGCGGACGGACCGGTTCCCGAAGTTGACTGTGTTTCAAAAACTAGTGAGCTGACTACCTAGACAGGATTTTGAGACAATATAGTAGTGTTTGGCGTAAGCTCGGCTGAATTGTATATCTAAATATGCCGTTGACTCGAAAAACGCCCAAAAATATAACGATCTCGGAAAGCGCAACGCACCCTTGATGCTCACCGATGCTGTCTATATAGGCAGCTCGTTAGCTCTTGAGACGCAGCCGCTGAGTGTTCCTTTAAAAACGTTCCGATGGGACACAGCAGACGCTACGAGAACTTGCCTAACGTGAAGGAAGTATAATCCAGTGAAATTTAACTTTGATTGTTTGCAGCTTTTTGATTTGACACTCATTTGTGTTTTTAATCAAAACATTTTAAGTCGTATGGAATTTTAGACCTAAAAATATTAGTGGGGAAAAATCACTGCCGTATCCGCAATATGTCTGCTCCCTGTGACAGCACACACTGAAGGTACATTCCTTTTAGACCTTTTATGTGTCACTTAATATGCAGCATTTTTTTTCTGATTAAAAGATTAGATGTGTATACTGTAAAATATGCATGTCATTAAGTTTCAGAACGCATTTATTCACAATATTTTTCACAACCTTCATCGACTGCTTTTAAGCATTGCCAAACACATTTGTTTTTTATTTTATGTACTGTTTTGTTATACTATTGTTCTTAATGATTGCCATATTCATGTTCTATTGCATTTACATGGTACTCCAAGCAGTGTTATTTTAGTATTATTTATAATGGTAATTAGTAATATTTAGATTTTTAAATCATTTTTGTATTAATAGTTTAAATTACATTTTAGTTAAAGTTAAGTTTTAGTCATTTCATTATGTGCTTTTGTCATTTTCATTTATGTATTTTTATTTCTATATAACGTTTTAGGTTTTATAATTTTAAGTATTTCAACTTAAACTTATTTCAGTTATTTGCCAGGGGAACATTTCAAAGTTGTTGTTTTTTTTTTTTTTAAGTTTAAGTCTTTCAACTGATATTTATTTACAATTTTTAAGTATTTCTATCTATCCTTTTTTTTAAAGTGTAAGTTTCATAATAGTTTTAGTTTCAGTTAACAATAACAACACTTACTCCAAGGTAAACAAAAAATACCTTGGTACCATGAAAAAAAAAAGTAATAAAAAAAATGTATTACTAAAATTTTCAAATGTGATGCGCAAATTAAATCATTTAAAAAAAGTTGTATTCCATTTTGTTTAACAGAAAAACAGTTGTTTGTCTTTTCGCATTAGTTTCAGTCTGAAAGGCTCCAGATTTCAGGACATGTGGATGGCTGTGCATGTGGCGTCACCCAGAATCTGGAGCAGAGGTCTTCAGAAGGCCTGGAGCACATGGGGATGCAGACTCTGCTCTCAAAGCTCGTCTAGCACACAGCCTTCACATCATCTCAGGACACAAGCGGAGAAAGCCAAACGCAGACAAGCACGGGAGAAGGCCATACTCAGCAGCGTAGGTTATGCAGACTGTACATATCAAAATGGGTACCTAATGTTTCCTTTGGTTTAAACCCATAAAAGTCTTATGTCTTTAACCCTTGCAGGATGTTAATGATCCTGAACTTATCTGGTCAGATAAAGAGAAAATAGCATACACTGCTGCACTCGTACCTGGAGAGAAGAAAGGTGACAGAATGTTTTTCCTCTCCGTGTTTTGTCTTGTGTTTCTGTCCATTGATGCGCTGGATTTTTTGTTGTGTCTGACTAATGCAGTTATTATAGATGTCTATTGCTATCATCCCATGTCTTCCAAACGTCCTCTCTTTTAGACACCACTCTGCCCTTCCCACAATCCTACAGCCCGGAATATGTGGAGTTTGGCTGGTATCAGTGGTGGGAGAAACAGGGATTCTTCAGTCCTGAGCAGCATGTATGGGAGCAGTTGCAGCTTGATATAAGTTGTCTCTACCCTAAAGCAAATAAAGAAATCAATTAATATATAAATACCCCGTTGTTCAAAAGTTTGGGGTCGGTAAGATTAAAAAAAAAAAGAAATTAATTTTATTAAGCAAGGATGCATTCAATTGGTCTAAAGTGAAAGTCAAGACATTTATAATGTTACAAAAGATTTCTATTTCAAATAAATGCTGTTCTTTTGAACTTTCTATTCATCAAAGCATCCTGAAAAATTGCATATCATAGTTTCCACACACATATTAAGCAGCACAACTGTTTTCAACACAAGAAACAAGATTTTTATTTTTTTTTAAACAAGAATTGTTTCTTGAGCAGCTAATCTGCATATTATTATGATTTCTGAAGGATCATGTGACACTGAAGACTCAGTTTTCCAGCATCTTTTGCATATTTGAACCCTTTCCAGCAGGGACTGTATGATTTTGAGATCCATCTTTTCACACTGAGGACAATTGAGGGACTCAAACACAGCTATTAAAAAAGGTTCAAACATTCACTGATGCACCAGAAGGAAACACGATGCATTAAGAGCAGGTGAAGATGTCCGAATTTTTCTTATTTTGTTGAAATATCAGGTTTTTTTTCGTTTTTTTTTTTGCTCTTCGGAAGCAACAGAAGATACTTGCATGTTTCCCGGAAGACAAATTAAGTACAATTGACCTTGATCTTCAAATTCAAAAAGTTTTCACCCCCCGGCTCTTAATGCATCGGGGTTCCTTCTGGAGCATCAGTGAAATACAGTGCCACTGTATATTACAAAAGAAGACACTTGTTTTAAATTGCAGTAATGTTTCTCTTTATTGTTTTTTTTTTTTATTATTATTAAATACATGCAGTCTTGTTGAGCATAAAAGTCTCACTGACCCCAGTAGTGTAAGTAGATTTTTAATTTTTTAATCTCTGTTTTTTACCTTCTTCCTCAGAGTAAACAGCCCCATGCGGTTGATAAATATTTCTCATTCTGTATTCCACCGCCGAATGTGACCGGCACTTTACATCTCGGACATGCGCTGACAGTGGCTATAGAAGATGCTTTGGCTCGCTGGTACCATTTGAATAAACTCTTTGATTATTACTCTCTAACATTACATGCCTCAGCAATGCATGTATAAAATATCTCTATAAATGGACTCTTAGTCCAAGATGATATGACCATTTCATCAAATCATTTTTTCAGGCGACGGATGCAGGGCTACAAGGTGCTGTGGCTTCCCGGCTGCGACCATGCTGGGATTGCAACACAGGTATCACAGCTCTTTATCTCTGTTAAATGGTAAAATAGGACGCTTAGGTGTCCGTTTCTGTTCGGAATGATCTGTGATGTGTCTCTGTGTGTGATAGTCGGTGGTTGAGAGGAAGCTGATGAGGGAGCAGAGGAAGTGCAGACGGGACTACAGTAGAGAGGAGTTCCTCAAACAGGTCTGGAGATGGAAAAATGAGTAAGTCTCTGTCTGTCTTTGCTGTCCTTGTTTTCAGAGCCTTGCAGTTGTATATGCTACTAGTGCAACTGTTATGTTATGTCCATATGGTAACTGTAAGGTCTGCTTTCGTTTTTTAATTCAACTCAAGTGTTTGCCTTTCTGTTGTTTTAATGATTTTTTATTTTATTTTTTCAGAAAGGGGGATGAGATTTATCATCAGCTGAGAAAACTTGGTGCATCTCTTGACTGGTGCAGAGCCTGTTTTACAATGGATCCGGTAATTTAAAAAAAAGACGTTTTACTCAGTTTTCTCATGGGCTGTTTGGAATAGCATTCTTCTATGATATTCATATTGTTCCTGCAGTATGCAGTGTGTATACTATGCACAGTATGCATTTTCTCTGTATGAATAGGATGTCTAATTAATGCATCCCACAATGCAATTCACCTCAATCTGAAAAAAAAGGGTTCATTTTTAAAAAGGCTTCTTACTATGAAAATAACACGCTTCACATTCAGTTCATACTGAAGTTTTTTTTTTAATGCTTTTGGACACATAATTACATGTTAATTGCATTTAAATGAAAATATATTCAAGTTTATTCAAAATGAATATAAAATGCAGTTAGCTGAAATTTAGAGTGCTTTTTTTGATCCACTTAATAATATGTCATTTTATAATCGCACCTTTTGTACTTGAAATATGTTTAAAGTATAATGGTAAACTAAAATTAACTGTCATTTGTATTGAAACGTATGTTATGTATTTTTAGATATATTTGTTATTACACAATTGTAATGATGAAGTTGCAATTTAGTGCAAAAAATATTAAAATATATTCACTTTAAATGTAATATTGAATAACACACTACAGTTAGTGCTTTACGTGTGCTCTAGTATGTTAGTCAATAACAATAAGTGTACTTCTTAAAGCATGACAAATTGTTACAATTTAAAATGTACTTCAAAGTAAAACATTTAATTTGACATTATTAAAGTGCACTTTGTTAAGAAACCTAGTCATGGAAGTGTGCCCTCTTTAATCACACTTAAGTGGGCTTTTATTTCAGTAATATTATAATATCTGCAATTACAGTTTTTTTTTTAAAAACATACTTTTAGGATTTGAAGTACACTACAAGTGCACATTCAATAAAATTAAGTACTTTTTTCATAAGGGTTTCCATTATGATAAAAGAACTGGACCTATTATCAACAAAATCTCAAAAATGATTGTCTATATTTTTCTTCACCTCCCTTTGTTTTAGTTTTTGCCCCCTCTTTTTATCTGTAGGGTTTCAGCAGTGCTGTGACAGAGGCCTTTGTCAGGCTGTGTGACTCTGGGCTCATCTACCGCTCTGAAGGTCTGGTCAACTGGAGCTGTGCGTTAGAGTCGGCCATCTCAGACATAGAGGTACATCACTGAGCCGCTCCATGTCTAACAACCT